CCTCCTCCCTCCTCCCCATCATCTCATCATCATCATCATCATCATCATCATCATCATCATCATCATCATCATCATCATCATCATCATCATCGTCATCGGTCATCGGTCATCAGTCATCGTCATCGTCAATCATCGTCATCATCATCATCATCATCATCATCATCATCATCATCATCATCATCATCATCATCATCATGATCATCATCATCATCATCATCATCATCATCATCATCATCATCATCATCATCATCGTCACCCACTTCGGCACACCCCTCACACGTTTCGTGGCCCCATAGGGAGCTCCACCGAAGGCCCGAGGGCTGCCGCCCGCATGCGTCCCCTACACCCATTTCGGCACACCCCTCACACGTTTCGTGGCCCCATAGGGAGCTCCACCGAAGGCCCCATGGCTGCCGTCCGCATGCGTCCCGCACACCCATTTCGGCACACCCCTCACACGTTTCGTGGCCCCACAGGGAGCTCCACCGAAGGCCCCAGTGCTGCCGTCCGCATGCGTCCCGCACACCCATTTCGGCACACCCCTCACACGTTTCGTGGCCCCATAGGGAGCTCCACCGAAGGCCCCATGGCTGCCGTCCGCATGCGTCCCGCACACCCATTTCGGCACACCCCTCACACGTTTCGTGGCCCCACAGGGAGCTCCACCGAAGGACCAAGGCAGCCGTCCGCATGCTCCCGCACAACCATTCGGCCTCACACGTTTCTAGGGAGCTCCACCGAAGGCCCATGGTCCTCCGCAGCCCACCCATTTCGGCACACCCTTCCCCACATGCTGCCGTCCCATGCGTCGCACGTCCATTTCGGCACACCCCTCACACGTTTCGTGCCCATAGGGAGCTCCACCGAAGGCCCCATGGCTGCCGTCCGCATGCGTCCCGCACACCCATTTCGGCACACCCCTCACACGTTTCGTGGCCCCACAGGGAGCTCCACCGAAGGCCCCAGTGCTGCCGTCCGCATGCGTCCCGCACACCCATTTCGGCACACCCCTCACACGTTTCGTGGCCCCATAGGGAGCTCCACCGAAGGCCCCATGGCTGCCGTCCGCATGCGTCCCGCACACCCATTTCGGCACACCCCTCACACGTTTCGTGGCCCCACGGGAGCTCCACCGAAGGCCCCAGTGCTGCCGTCCGCATGCGTCCCGCACACCCATTTCGGCACACCCCTCTCCACCGAACGTGGCCCCATAGGAGCTCCAACCGAAGCCCCATGGCTGGCCTTCCGCATAGCGTCCCGCACACCCATTTCGGCACACCCCTCACACGTTTCGTGGCCCCACAGGGAGCTCCACCGAAGGCCCCAGTGCTGCCGTCCGCATGCGTCCCGCACACCATTTCGGCACACCCCTCACACGTTTCGTGGCCCCATAGGGAGCCCCACCGAAGGCCCCATGGCTGCCGTCCGCATGCGTCCCGCACACCCATTTCGGCACACCCCTCACACGTTTCGTGGCCCCCCAGGGAGCTCCACCGAAGGCCCCAGGCTGCCGTCCGCATGCGTCCCGCACACCCATTTCGGCACACCCCTCACACGTTTCGTGGCCCCCAGGGAGCTCCACCGAAGGCCCCATGCTGCGTCCGCAGCGTCCCGCAACCCATTTCGCCCACACCCCTCACACGTTTCGTCCCACAAGGGAGCTCCACCGAACCCCAGTGCCTGCATGCGTCCCGCACACCCATTTCGGCACACCCCTCACACGTTTCGTGGCCCCATAGGGAGCTCCACCGAAGGCCCCATGGCTGCCGTCCGCATGCGTCCCGCACACCCATTTCGGCACACCCCTCACACGTTTCGTGGCCCCACAGGGAGCTCCACCGAAGGCCCCAGTGGCTGCCGTCCGCATGCGTCCCGCACACCCAATTTCGGCACACCCCTCACACGTTTCGTGGCCCCATAGGGAGCTCCACCGAAGGCCCCATGGCTGCCGTCCGCATGCGTCCCGCACACCCATTTCGGCACACCCCTCACACGTTTCGTGGCCCCACAGGGAGCTCCACCGAAGGCCCCAGTGCTGCCGTCCGCATGCGTCCCGCACACCAGGTGTGTGGCGTGCCGACATGGGCGTCGCGGCGCGCGGGCGCTGCCGTCGGGGTTCCCAGGGAAGCCCCCTGCAGAGGCGACGCTCAGAGTCACGAGTACCGAGAGTCACGCAGACCCAAACTGTTCACAGTCGTATACATACATTTACACTGGGCGTATCCATGCACGCATTCATGCGAATAGAATCAATCGCGCGCAGATTCATTCATAATCAGACTCGCTCGCGATCCGACTCGCACGCGCTCAAGCTTTCATATTCGGACCTATCGTCTTCGTTCGTGTTGTGTACACTGCCACGCATTTCGGCACACCCCTCATACGGCTCGTGGCCCCATAGGGAGCGCCACCGAAGAAGATATTCACAATTGCGGTACTCTCAACTGCATATGGTTGGGTCCTTCGCCAGGCTAATGTTTGTCCACTGTGGTGCATTTTCGGAGTATCTTTAATTTCCTCGCCCAAAATCCACCTGTATGACCCGACCTGACCCCAGGGCCCGACCTGACCCCAGGGCCCGACCTGACCCCAGGGCCCCCAGGATTCGTCGGCGAGCCCAGGGGGGGTGTGAGGGGGGGCAGGCCTGCTCATCAGACGGCGGCGGGGCTTCTCGGGAGCCCTCGCGCCCTCTGTGGAGCTTGGGCCTCCCGGGAGGCGCCTTCGGGCTTTCGCTCTCTCTCTCTCTCTCTCTCTCTCTCTCTCTCTCCCGGTGCCCTCCGAGGTGTCTCGAGAGGACCCCAAGATGGCCCAGGGCGGGGAGGCGAAGAGTAGGAGGGGGAGGAGGAGGGAGGAGAGCGGTACGAGAGCAGTACAGAGAGACCTGAGCAACTTTAGCCGCTCTCGGGTCGCGTTTGGGGGTGTGCGTTATTGTGACTGCATCGTTGCCGAGGAACGAAGACGGCTCAGGATTGCCTCTGGACGGCCCAAGATGCTCCTTGCGGCGTTCCAGGAGGGGCCCCAGAGGACCCCGAAGGGGGGCCAGGAGGCACGATTCTCTGATTGCCGGGAGTTCCGTTGAAGAGAAAGAGGATCTTAGGGGTCCTGTTTTGCCGCTGCCCGATGGCCCCGGAGGGGCCAGGAGGTGCCCAAGATGCCCCCAAGGGCGGCTCAAGAGGAGGGCTCCGGGAGCCCTCGCGCTCAGGACTGCCCCAGGATCCCCACGACTCCGCGGCGAGCCCAGCGTGGCAGTGAGAGGGGGCAGGCCTCGTCAGAGGGCGGCGGGGCTCGTCAGGAGCCCTCGTGCCCTCAGGGGAACCCTTCGTGGCCTCGGAGAAGAGTGCCTGCCCTTTCCCGCTTCCATCCTGGGATCGCCGCTGACGGATGGCCCGAAGAGGGCCCCAAAGAGGCTGCCAATGCTTCCCCAGGTGGCCCGAGATGCCGCAGAAGGGCACCCCGAGGCCCATAGGATGTCACCAGAGGCCCCCATGACTTCCCAATGTCCTTCCCGCCCTCAAGGGAGCTCCCATCCCAGACGACCCTCTGGGGTCTTGGGGCGTTCTTGGGGTCGGACACAACAGCAGTGGGGAGAGGAAATAAGTGTTTGCTAGCTGTGCACCCCTCGACCTAACCCGAGCCCATTCGCGCCTTCGACGACGAACGCGTTGGCTTGCTGCCTTGCCCAGCTTAATGCTAGACTTCAGGACAGGTAGATCTCGAAAGCGTGCGAAGCGCGCGCGATGGGTCTGGGGACTGTTGTAGGGAACGTGTGATCTATTTCGTGCTGTTTCTGGCATCTTTACTGGATGGAGAAATTACACTTTCGGATAAGGACGTCGCACAAGAAATTGAAACGCTGTTCGCGTGTAACTCGACTATTGGCCTTTTTCAACACAATTTTGTGTTGCGTGACTGGGAGTATGTCGTGGTCAAGACTATGATTTTCAACAACGTGTCGGACGAAACCCGTGTGATGCGCGCCCGTGGACAAAGTTTGTGTCGAATGAGGTAGAACAGTCCATTGTCGCAGGAGACCTTGGGGTGCTGCGAGTGCTAATTGCATGTCCGAGTGATGCAATGATCTGGACCAGCGGCTTTGATGGTACTTACCGGATTCGTTTCCTAGTTTGGTAAGCCACGTTCGTGTAGGGCTTTTACGGTGCTCATTGGTGGTTACAGTCCCATGGTGCTACAGGCGGCATTTTCACACCAATTGCGAACGCAATAGGGTTTCGACGTGCAACCCCCTGGCCAGAGCGCACACACAGTAGTTCTTGTCGTGCCGGCCAGTAGGAGCTGCGCTGCCAGGCGGGCACGGACTCACCAAGGCAGGGCTCAGAGAGTCGTCGCCGTCGTCGCCCCGCCAACGCCGCCCCCGTCGCCGTCGTCTCCGCCGTCGTCATCGTTCGCCGCCGCCGTCACCGCCGCCGTCACCACCGCCCTCGTCGTCGTCGTCGTCGCCGTCGCCGTCGCCGTCGCCGTCGCCGTCGCCGTCGCCGTCTCCGTCGCCGTCGCCGTCGCCGTCGCCGTCGCCGTCGCCGTCGCCGTCGCCGTCGCCGTCGCCGTCGCCGTCGTCGTCGCCGTCGCCGTCGCCGTCGCCGTCGCCGTCTTTGTCGTCGTCGTCGTCGTCGTCGTCTTCTCGTCTTCGCGGACTGACACCTTGGAGAGGCCGCGGCTGCCGCCACGCCCGGGGAGGTCGCCGCCGCTCTGAACGCCTCGCACAGCTCCTCGCGCTCCAGCGGCAGCGCCTTCCTGCAGACGGGCGCCTCGCTGCACCTGGGCGCCTCGCTGCCGCCCCTGCTGCAGGTTCGGCAGCAACTCATGGGAGCCTTCGTGTGCCCTCGGAGACTCCGCTCTCACGGGACCTTCGCGTGCGCTGCCGCAGCGCTTGGCAGTCGAGGACAGCGCGCTGATTTCAGCGACGGTTCGCGTCGGTGAGCGTCGGTTCGCAAGAGCCAGCAGGATGACGCGGGAGGCCCCCACGAGTTGCTGCAGAGTTGCAGGCCGCGGCCGCCGCTCCTGGGGAGGCCTCCGCCGCCCTGAACGCCTCGCACAGCTCCTCGCGCTCCAGCGGCGGCAGCGTCTTCCTGCAGACGGGCGACTGGGACCTGACCGCCGCGGTCGCCGCACAGGCGCAGGCCGCCGCGCAGGCGCAGGCCGCGGCTGCGGACGCCGCCCTGGCCGCGCAGCGCGCCCAGGTGCTGCAGGAGCAGCACCTGCCGCAGCACCACCTGCAGCTGCAGCAGCAGCTGCCGGGGCACCCGCCGCCGGCCGGCGCCGCCGCGCACGCGACCGTGGAGGCCGGCGCCTGGGTGTTGCCGCTGTCCCCCGTGAAGGCAGGGCTCACTTCGAACTCCTCCGACTCGGTTCGATTCGATGTCGATCGGTTTCGATTCCGATTCGATTCGAGTCCAGAATTCTGATTCGAGCCGACATCGGGTGTTGCCGCTGGCCCCCGTGAAGGCGCACCCGCATCGGCGGCGAGATCCGAATCCTGCTTTGGCCGATCAACGATTCAGGCAGATCGAAGATTCGGAATTTGTCGAACACGTTGTGAAGTCCGAGTCCTACCCCCGCCGCCCATCGATTCGGGAGAATCGATGGTTTCAGGCAGTGGTGAAGCGTCCTGACCTGCCTACAGGCCTGCCGAATAGGATTCTGCCTACCTTGTGCGGCTTGCGCGACATTGTTTTGGGTAACGCCATCTTGTGTAACGCCATCCAGTTTTTTCGGGTGTTGCTAGAAGTGCCCCACCCCCCAGGATTTCCAAGGAGGCCCCCACGGCCTCCAGAGCACCTCACGAGGTCCAGATGGGTCCCAGGGGCTCCTAAATCGAACGAAAAGCTGGGGCCACCCTGGGCCAGGGGCACCTTCTAGCAACCCCCGAATTGTATGGTTCAAGAACAGTGCCTTGGTTGTTCGAATGTTCAATCTATTCGCTCATTCAGCCGGCCCATATTGCCCTGCCGCTTGGGGGCCGTGTTGGGGCCTCTTGGGGGCCTCTGGTAGGCAGTTTTGAGTCCTCTTGGGGGCATTGTTGGGGCCTCTTGGGGGCCTCTTGAGGCTTCTTGGGGTGCCTCTTGGGGGCCCCTTGGGGCCTCTTGGGGGCCTCTTGGGGCCTCCTGGGGGCATCTTGGGGCTGAAGGCTGGACTTTTCGGTTCTTGGTCCCCGTCTTGGGTATCTCCTAGGGCCCTTGGTTGTTCGAATGTTCTCCCGTTCTAAGGGCATGTCGTGGCAGGGCCGTAGGGTTGCCCCAGGACGGTCGGCCTCTGCTCCAATGGCTGGTGCGGGTACAGTGGAGGCCCCTACCAAGAAACACCCTGCTTGCCTCCAGGGTGCCTCCTCCTCCTCCTCCTCTTCCTCCTCCTCCTCCTCTATCTCCTCCTCCTCCTCCTCCTCCTCCTCCTCCTCCTCTTCCTCCTCCTCCTCCTCCTCCTCCTCCTCCTCTTCCTCCTCCTCCTCCTCCTCCTCCTCCTCCTCCTCTGCCTCCTCTTCCGCCTCCTCCTGCGGGAGGGGTTGCCGCGCCCCGTGCGTGGCTCAAGGCCCCCCCAAAAAGGCCGCCGCGCGCTCCCGCAGGTTATGAGCCCGGCGCGATGGCCTTAGATCTGCTTTCGGGATCTAGGTGCGATGGCAATCGATCCTAGGGACATTCCGATTCCAGACTTCGACGACCCAGATCTCGATGACGATTTTCGTCCGGCCGATCGTGATCGTGTCGTTCCCGTTTCATACTTGTTTCATACACCTTTGACACAGACTACTTTCACTGTGACGGACAGTCGCGACGCTGCGCCACGTCCGACTGGAAGCACAGTTCGCGGTGGGTGCCCGGCCACACCACCACCACGACAACAACCTAAACACACTCTGCGTGCCGACGCGGACAGTCGCGATGCTGCGCCACGTCCGACTGGAAGCGTTGAGCACCGGCCACGACAGGGACAGCACTCAGGAACAACACCACGCCCACAGGACACCACGCAAGCTGCCCGCTCCGGCGGCGACGGTGGCAAGCACCCGTTGCCCGCCTTGCCGGGCGGCGCAGAAGGCCGCGCGTTGCCGAGCGTTTCCGCTTGGCGCGCTTGGACCCAGACAAAGCTGGCTGGGTGGTGTGGGCTGCAGTCGCAGGGGTTCGCGGAGGCCGTCCTTGCGTCCCTCGGCGGCCCTACTTCGGACGTTTCCTGTGTGCACAACGAGCCCCGGTTCGCCAAGGCCAACAGAAACCTTGCGTTTGAATTGTGCGCGCACGCCAGCGACGACACAAGCCTCTACTGGACAGGTGTTGCTCGCACGGACGGGGTGCCCATGCTAGCCTCACCCCGCGACGCCATAATGGCTTCGGCCACGGCGCGCACTGCAACCTTGCACGACAAGTTTGCGTCACCAGTGCCGGTCTCAGACCACAGCAAACTCCAACACGCTCTGAAAGTGTGGCAGGCGGAGCTCTCCGAGCTTCGCGCCGACGACTCTGAGCCGTCAAAGCACACGGTGTTTCGGTCTCTGCGACAGCTGTTGGGCAAGTTAGACGTCCTGCGAGTCCCCCTTGAGATCGTGGAGATGTCCTCCCCGGACAACCCGGACGCCATCTTCAAAATGGCGGAGGCCAAAGCAGGGCACTGGGCTGGAGAGGCGACCTCGTCGCAACAGGTGAGGGTACCGGCGAACGCAGTGCGCGCCGACAGAAACGACAAAGGGAAGGACAAAAACAAAGACAAACGCAAGAACAACAACGGCAAGGGCAAGGGCCAGCAAACTTGGATCCCATGTTCTTTCTATCTCAGCGGGTACTGCCGCTGGGGCAACACCTGCAAGTTCCACCACTCTGGCAACGACGCGAGCAAGTCCTTACCAAAGGATGCGTGCCGCACTTGCCACCAGCCCGGACACTGGGGCAACGAATGCCCGAACAGAGGACTCCCTGGGGTGGGGCCCGGGGCGGGAAAAGGACAACCCGGGGTGGGGCCCGGGCCAAAAGGGGACGCCCAAACCAACTGGAAAGGCTTCGGAAAAGGATGGGGCAACGACGCGCCCACGTCCGCGCCTCCTGGTCTTGAGACCGAGGAGAGCCGGAAGCGCAGCCGGATCGGAGCCGGCGCGCTGTCCGGCGAAGCAGCTGGATCGGAACCGGCGCCAACAACACAACAGTCCGCGGCAAACATGGCAGCTTTCACCCAGATGGCACAGCAGCTGATGAACGAGCAGAAAACCAACTACAAAGCACTGAAGGATATTCTGGAGCGCGTTTCCGGGAACATGCTCCGAATCTCCACTCCCAACCTCACCCTCGGGGTCAACAGCGTCACTGCGGATTCGCCCCTGGCGATGGCGGCGGATTCGGGTGCCGAAAGACGCGCGCTGGCAGGCAAGGATTTCTGGCAAGCCAGGAGCACCCGCCCTCTCGACGCGCCCCTCATTCTCGAGACGGCGAACGGCGAGACCGTCGTCACGCACCAGTGCGACGTCGTGTGCGGAGGCGTTCTCCTTCAAGGCGTCCTGATGTGCAAGACCGCAACATCGTCCCTTCTAGCAATCGTCCTCCTGACAGACGACAAATGGCAGTACCGCCAGGCTCGAGCCGGCGCTGTCTTGACGGACCCCGCCGGGACACTTTTCTTTCTACACAGGTCTGGCAACTTGTTCATCGTCGTGGCTACTAGTACTACACCTACCCCTTCACCATGACCATCTTCGTCACCATCATCATGGGGAAGGAGAGAGGGAGGAGGAAGAGGAGAGACGGGAGTAGATCGCAACGAGGGTTTTGCTGGGTCGGCGTTTCGCAACCAGGGTTCTGCGGAGGAGGATGACAGTCGCGCCGCTGCGCCGCGGCCGACTGGATTCCGGGAGCCCGGCGGCGTGGCGGACAGTCGTGCTGCTGAGCCACGGCCGACTGGAAGCCCGTCGCCGGCCGCGACTTCGCCAGAGGGTCGCGGCGGGTCGTGGGCACCAAGCACGTTCGAAATGCATGCTGCCAGCGTGCGGGAGGAGCCCGTCCTGGTGGTGAACTCCACGGAGGCGTTCCAGCAGTACTCTGAACGTGGTGACCCTTCGAAAATGATGTTGTACCTCCCAGAGCGTAAAAGCCCGCCGAGCGAGATGGACCATGCGTTCCTTATCCATGTTAAGAAGGGCCACGCGGAGCACGACCCGAATTGAGACGTCTGCGTGCAGGCGAGGCTTCGTGCTCGCCCGGCCCGGCGGGTGCACCAGGAGTCTCATGGAGGAGAGGTTTCTTCAGACCTCTCCGGCCCCCTGCCCATCAGCCTAAACGGTAACAAGTGCGCCCTCGTAGCTGTAATCCGGCTTTCCAGGCATGGCTTTGCAAACCCGTTGCCAAACAAAGAGTTTCAAACAGTGCGAGACGCGATGATCGATTGCAAGCTCGATCAGCGACGGTTGTGGCGATTCCATTCGTACGGCGGCGGAGAGTTTAAGGGGGAAGTGGACAGGTGGCTCCGGGAATGCGGTCTCGTTCACACCGACGCTGGCGGATATAGGTCACAGGCCAACGGGATTGCCGAACGACGCATCCAAGAGTTGTTCGAGATCGTTCGGGCGCTCCTTCTGCAATCGGCCGCACCCAAAGAACTCTGGGACGAAGCACTCGTGCACGCAAACGCCTTGTTCAACAACACCCCCAGAACCGTACCAAGACACGACGGTAAGGTAGTTCCTCAAGTACTCGAAACTAGTAGTAGTGAGGGCGTAAGCAAATGGCCACCCTGGGGGTGCAAATGTTTTTACCTGATCCCCAAACCGGTGCGGACGGACAAACTAGACGGTGTTGCTCGACTAGGCGTGTTCGTCGGTTTCGACTCGAAAACGGTCAATGGGGTGAGGGTTGCGCCGATTATGTGTTGTGGGGGCGAGTGGGTTGTCGAAAAACCGATCGCCTCGACCACTGTCCGCACTGTCGACGCCGAGTTCCCCCTGAAGACTCGCGGTGGTAAGCTCGACCCCCTCGACGGCGTCTTCGACTTCCCGGACTCGGATACACCTCGCTCCTGGAAGGACTCCGCGGCTGCGGAGACCGGCGCGGCGGCGCCGGCGGCGGGTCCACAGGCGGCGGCAGGGGACAGTCGAGGTGTTGCGCCACGCCCGACTGGAACCGCCGCCCCTGACGGCCCCGCAGCACAGGCCACAGCACAACCACGACGTCCCAACAACCGTTTCGCCACGGTTGAGGAGCAGCGCGCCTACTGGCGCGAGCGTAAACGAGAGCAGGTTCGTAAACGCGTCCGGTCCAACCTCCTGGCCACGTCCGTAGAGAGCCATGGCGGCGATGAGTCCGATTGGGACAGCGTCAGTGCGTGTAGCACTCCTTCGTCTTTCGCGTCCAATGCGTCCGACAGCGATGACGTCCAGCCGGATTTGTCTCGAGATGGGGTGGCTGTGTTGGCGACTGCGGCTCGCTCGCTCCAGCCATTGCGTTCCGTAGGCGCCGCTGCCGTTACGACGGGGCCTGGCGATGATGTTTCCCGCGTTTTCGCGAGTGTCATTACTGCCCAGGGCCCCGTCGCCGAGACGTTGTACGTCTTAGGCCGTCAGGCGGCGCATGTCACGCAGCTGATGGACGCGAAACTGTATCTCCAACGCCCAGATGGCCGCGGAGCTCAGGCGGCGGCCAAGGAGTTCGATCGTATGGCCGAGCACCCCGTGTGGCTTGCGCCACAAGAGCTGTCGTCGATTCCGGAGGGCGCCCGAGTTGTCAAAGGGAAACTCATGATCTCTGAGAAAAATTGGGAGCAACCAGAAGCACCTCACGAGTGCAAGGCCCGTTTCGTAGCCATGGGTAACGTCTTGTTCGACAAGCGTATGAAGGTAGTACGTTCGCCCTCCGAGTCGTTATGGGCGCCCGTAGCTAGCCTCACCGGCGCCCGTTCCGTCCAGGCACGCTCTCTCGCGATGGGTCACGAGACGGAGACAATCGATTTTTTTAGTGCGTATCTTCAGGTACATCTAGGAGGAGAGGAGGAGTATTACATCATCATCCCCGCTGAAGTCATCGACATTCTGCCGCCACACGTCCAACAGAAGTTCCGCTCGTTGAAGATGCCTGTGTGTAGATTGGCCCGTGCGCTGTATGGTTTTCAGCGTTCTGGTTCGGATTTCATAACCGCTTTCACCCGGTGGCTCCTTTGGAACAGGTGTCAGTTCATGGAAGAGGAGCCGGCTGTCTTCTATTTGTGGCACGGGGACTCCGACCGTGAAGCCATGCAGCACGCTGCAAAACTGAAGGTGTGGGTTGATGCCGAACACGCTGCCGGCAGGAACCCTTTCTCTTCCGGTTCACAGTCCAGCCACACGTCGTGGCGTGACGTCTCCCTGTCCTTGGCCTCGTCGCAACACCGTGTACGAAGGAGTTCCAAACAGTGCAGCACAATGGCAACTTACGTCGACGATTGCGAACTGGACGCTGGCAAACGCCACCGAACCCACATCTGGGATGTCATCAGAGTAGGCTTCAGCAGCAAGGCCCCAGAGGTTGTCCGCAAGTTCCTTGGCTGCTCGTGCAGCGTCCCTCGCCAGATGACTCTTGCAGATGGTCGGACAGGAGTCGCCGTCGTCTTGTCCCAGTCGGAGTACTGCCAGAGGATCGTCCGAGACTACGAGGCGGTTGTCGGCTACAGCGTAAGACCCGTCACAACACCAACGCAACAAACGACCCCTCTTCGACCAGAGGATCTGGCGCCAGCAGAGGCTGGAACCGGTCGCCGTAGAATTATCGGTGAGGCCTTTTACGCAGCTCGTTGGACGAGGCCGGACTTCTCGTTTGCAGTTGGCCGTCTCGCTCGGTATGTCGACAAATGGTGCCCTTGGGCAGAGGCAGAGCTTGGCCACTTCGTCGGTTACGTCCTCTTCAGCTCGGAGCTTGGCTTCGTGATGCTAAATTCTGGGGATTCTTGGGACGACTTGGAGCTCCATGCCTGGAGCGACGCAGATTTTTCTGCGCCCAAGAGCACCGCGGGCTTCTACCTGGAGCTGACCGGCCCGAAGGGTTCCCAGTACCCGCTGTCCTGGGGAGCTGCCAGACAGGATGTTACGACCACTAGCTCTGGAGAGTCGGAGGCTCTCGCCTGGAGCAAAACGGCGAAACAAAGTATAAGGGTAGCCGCCATGATCGAGTACACCCGTGCTGCTCCGGTTGTCGTCCGGGGCCGCCTCGACAACCAAACCGTGCAGCTCGCAATCCAGAAGGGGTATAGCCCAAAACTCGGGCACCTCAAAAAGCACGCGGAGGTGAGTTTGCTCTTCCTTAACCAGTGCGGGGTACTGCCAGAACACACGCCAGGGACCGAAAACATCGGCGATGCATTCACGAAAGCACTAGGACACAACAAGTTGATGTACCTCGTCGGTAGGTTGTTCGGTACTCCTGTTACCCAGTTTCCCAATGGTTCGGTTAAGGTTGGGATGCTAAGGTTGGCTACACCGGGTGCCTCTTCATCATCATTGTCAGCAGCATCTGGAGAGCACGTGGAGATGTTCCCGGGGCAGAGGATGGTGGAGCGCACCGCCAGGGCCGTAATGTTGGACAACGCACAGTACTTGGGGCAGCTCGCTGGGAAGTGCGACGCGAACCAGCCACTCCAGGCCGAGCGGCGCGAAGAGCTGTTGGATCTGCAGGGCCAGCAGCTCTGGAAAGCTGACCGCCTTCAGGAGCGCATCCGGGCAGACGCGGCGGGCGCGGCCGCCAGGAGGGATGGTGACAGTCGCGCTGCTGCGCCACGGCCGACTGGATCCGCCCGGTGGCGCGCCGACGTGGCCGCGAAGGTGCCGAAGTGGGTCGCAAGCCACAAGGGGCATGAGCGGAATCGTGCCAGGGCAGACCCTCGCCCGGAGCTCGTCCCGGACGCGCCGCAGGACACCGGCCCCGAGCAGCAGGCGCGGGTCGTGCAGGTCGTGATCGACAAGCACCCGCGCGACGACATGTTCACGGCGCTGGTGAACAACCCGCTATCCGGGGCAGAGGAGACGCAGTTCGGCATCCAGCGCGAGGCCCGTTTCTGCCATTTGTGGGCGGAGATCGGTCGCAGGGTCCCGGGTGCAATCGCACTGGTGTCGGAGAAGAACGTTCCGCTGCGGACCCTCCGCGGCGACTACCTGGCGAAAGACATCCCAGACCTGGACAACGACCTCTTGGAGATGAACCTCTCCGCCCCCGAGACCTGGGAGCTGCCTTACTTGCGGGGCCCCCGCAACCTCACCCGCAAGCCTCCCAACGAGGCACAGAAGGCCCGGATGCGGAGCAACCGGACATCGAACAAGCGGGTGCTGAAGGGCGCGCTCAAGCACGCCACGCCGAAGAGCAAGGCGGCCCCCAAGAGGTTTCCTGGTGCAACCTCCAAGGCTGCCGGCGCTCCTCCGGCGACCTGGTCTACTGAGCTGGGAACTTCTGAGTGAACGTATCTAGGCAAGGATGTGAAAATCCACGGAGAGGGTAGACAATATTTGGCGCAAGTTAGTTCTGTAGTCTGTAGCTGGCCCCTTTTGTAATCTACCGCGCTGTACTGACATCATTTGCAAATCTAATCTTTTTAGCCCGGTGCATTTTTTCTCTGCGGGTGCACATCAGATTCCTTCTCTCGTCGTCCTCCCCCTCTATCTGTTGTGCCACCCGGCCCAGAGAAGACTTTCAGAACCGAGCCCTCTTGCGCGGTCGCCACAGGCCCGCGGCGCGGCAAGGCGGCGTGCGGGAGGGGTTGCCGCGCCCCGTGCGTGGCTCAAGGCCCCCCCAAAAGGGCCGCCGCGCGCTCCCGCACCTCCTCCTCCTCCTCCTCCTCCTCCTCCCCCTCCTCCTCTCTCCTCCTCCTCCCTCCTCCTCCTCCTCCTCCTCCTCCTCCTCCTCCTCCTCGTCCTCCTCCTCCTCCCCTCCTCCTCCTCTCCTCCCTCTCCTCCTTCCTCCTCCTCCTCCTCTCCTCCTCCTCCTCCCTCCTCCCTCCCCCTCCGCCTCCTCCTCCTCCACCTCCTCCTCCTGTTCCTCCTGCCATTGCTTCTCCTCCTCTTCCTCCTCCTCCTCCTCCTCCTCCTCCTCGCTTGCCTCCAGGGTACCCTCGATTTCGTTGGTTTCGATGGTCTTGCCATGGAGAGCGTGGCGCTCCCACATCCAAAACCAATCGACGTCCTGGGTTTCCAACGTTGGGCTTTTCGTGGAAGATTTCTTGCGGTCGAGCTCCTACTGTAGAATTCGGAGGTCGCCCCCCTTCCCCCCAGGCGCCGGCGGCGGCAGCGGCCGCTGCGGCGCCCGTCTCCGTGGGCGGGCCGGCCTACTGGGCGGCGTGCTTACCTGGGCCGGCGGCGACGGCCCCCTGGGCCGCGTCCGCCGCGGGCCACGCGCAGCCGCCCCCCGCCAGCGCGGTGCCGCTGCCAGAGGACGAGGTCAACCAAGAACCAATCGACACCACCCCGCCTACTCAGAGGAGGAAAAGGTGCCCATATCTCTACCCCTCCGCCAGTTTCTCCTTCTTCTGGCCTCCTGGGAGGCCCACGTCGCCATCGCCCTCTGGATTCGCTTCGAAATCCTGGTCAGAACGCACCACAAACAGAGGTCCGGGGAGTAGCGATATGGGTACCTGTCGGTCTCCGCATCTACGACCCGCTGGGTCGCAGATGGGTCGTGGGCGGGGTGGTGCCATAGGCAGGTCGTAGAGGTCGTAGGTGGGCAAGTGCCTGCGCGTTCAACATCGTTGGGTCGTGGGTGGGGTGGTGTCGGTTGGCTTCTGGTCCACGAGGAGTCCGACTCCGAGAGCGAGGGAGCCTCCGGCGCCGACGGCGCCCCGCCGCGCAGGCCCACCCGCCGCGCGGGCAAGCGCGCGCGCCGGCGGCGGGGACACGCGATGAGGCGCGCCGAGGCGGAGGCCGAGCTGCGCGGCGCCGCGGGCGCCGCCGGCGCTGCCGGCCCCCAGCACGCGCCGGGCGCGCCCCGCGGCCGCCGACGCGGCCGACGAGCGCCGGGCGCCCACGCGCCGCGGCGGCCGCCCGCCGAAGAAGGGCGCCGCAGCCTGCGCGGCCGCTGCCGGGGCGCAGCCCTTCGCCGACGCGGTGGCCCTGGGCCTGTGTTCCGGCGGCGGCGCGGCAGCGGCAGCCTCCGCGGCCATGCCCGCGGCCGCGGTGCCGGCGGGCCCGCGGCCGCCGCAGCAGGACGGGCCTCTCGCGGGCAGCTGGGTGCTGATCCAGGGCCTCGTCCGCACGCCCGAGTTCAACGGCGAGTGGGGCCTGGTGGAGGCGTACGACGCGGAGCTCGGTCGGTTCCTGGTGCGCGTGCCCCGCGCCGAGGGCGCGCCCGTGCTGGCCAAGCTGCGCCGCGAGAACCTGGCCGCGCCGCCCGCGGGGCCCACGGGCCTGGGCGGAGCGAGCGGCGCCGGCGGCGGCAGCGCCCCAGCGGCAAAAAGCCGCCCGGAGGCGTCCATCTGAGCTCACCGGGCGCGTTTCACTGCACGCAGAGTGCCCACTCGCAAGCGCCCGAAGAGCACACGTCTGCATCGGTGCAGCGTCTCGTCGAGGCCATCTGCGAGTAGATCCTCTGCGAGTGCTGGAACGCGCTTGTCTATGAGCGGGGGATCGGGGAACAAAAGGCGGCAGGACCGTAAACTTTCGGACCGCCGCGCGGATTGCTTGAATCGGCGCTGGGCCCTCCCGGCGGCGCCTGTGGCGCCGCCCCTGGCGCGCTTCGCGCGCCAGGCAGGGGGTCCAGCGCCGACCCAGGAAGTTCACGCGGGTCTCCGAATGTTTATGTGTATACCGTCCCTTGTTCTTCTGGGACGATGTCGATACCGCAGCTCCCCTTGGAGAGCCCCCGTCGCCACGGCTAGATTCTCCTCTGATTATTGGTCAGACTGCGCCAGAGGAGAGGTCTGGGACGTAGCGGTATGGGCATATATTAGTTCCCTTTTTTCATAGTGTCTGAGTTGCCAGAGGGGTGAGGGATGGGCGGAAGAAGACGAGGCAGGTATCAGGTTTGTTGACGAAGAGGACCGAGGGGACGAGGAGGAAGATGGATAATGAGGGCGACGAAGATGCGGTTGATAGGTGTTTGCAAGGATGAACTGAACTATTTCCTATATCAGTACCAGCTTCCACGCCTCGATCATCTAGTACCTTCATCCAGAAGAGTGCGTTGTCGTGCATTGTTAGTTAGCTGTCTTGCGCTGCCGATCTGGGTGTCAGTGGTAAGCATAATTATTGTGCGCTCTGCGTGCTCCCTCGATCAACGATCGTTTGTGCTGCAACGTCCGCTTCTTTCATCCAAACGGTGCTGCTCGACAGAGCAGTGGTGCTGCGGACGCGCGCGGTTGCGAAGCCCTTAGTTCGAACTCCCATCGAATTGCTCCGCGCGTTCACTAGTGTCTTGGCGAACCTGAGCCAAACTTACTATGACATGCAGCGCCAACCAGGACGCCGCCGAGGTCTCCCATGAAGGTCCCGCACGCACCCATGCAGTCGGTCGTTTGACATTACGGCCCCCACCATGGAGGTTCAAGCGCAGACGTGAATGATCGGGGACCCCTGGGTCCAGACTCCTGGACCTCCAACACCATGATGCCGCAAATACCTGGGCCCTGGAGCTTTCGGCACTCTCACGGACGGGGACCAGTCTGCTGTCTCGGATTGCAGAGGACCTAGCCATGGGAGAAGCGGGACTTGAGGGAAACTGGCCCTGAGTTTTTTCGCAGTTTTTTGGACTCTCGGGGCCCTCCGCAGGCCCCGGAACTGTTAAACAGTGATTCAGGATGAAGATCTCGTCCTGAGGGAAGGCCCCAGGGTCCATGACCCGTTTCCGTCAGGGCCCGTTTTCCCCATGCTAATTTTTTGGTTGGTTCCGCCGTCCCAGAGAAGTGGACAATTTCGGCCAAAGATGCAGAAGAGGGACGGGGGGTAAGTGGCGGTTGCGACTGTGATGCGAGGGCAAAAGTTGTCTTCGGCCAGTTCCGCCATTGCGCTTAGGTCGTGGTTCAAAGGCCTCTGGGAGACATCTTGGAGGCTCTTGGTGGGCTGCTTCGGGGGCTCCTGAGCGCTTTGGGGGCGCACTTGAGTGTGCGTGGCGCTTCGTGTGGGCCTCGAAGGGGTCTGGGGATCATGCGCCCGGGAGTGCATCATGGGCGCGCTTTCTGCTGGGCCCCTGTTTGTGCTGGTCTTGACGGCTCCGTGGGCCGCCTGGGCGCTTCTGCGACCGAAGCGGAGATGATCTTGCAAGATCACGCAAAGGCCTGACGGTCTCGGCGGATCTTGGCCTTTTTGGGCCAGCCCCCAGTGCCTCCAAGACAGGCTGCGAGGCTCCCGAGAGTGCCTCCAGGTCGGCGGCCCCAAGAGGGTGCTGGCAGGCCCAGGCTGCCGAGCAAACACGTGGCACGCGCGCCATGGCTCTTGCACAGGTAGGAAGGGGGAGGAGGCGCAGGGGGCGCGCTGGCTGCTGGATGGGGGGATGCGGAGGGTTCGCTCGGGGTGGGGGTGTCGGGGCGGAGGGGGCGCGCTGACTGGTGGATGGGGGGATGCGGAGTGGGCGCTCGGGGTGGGGGGGGCGGTGCCGTGCCGCGATGAGTGGTTCAGGGCGGAGGGGGCGGTGCCGCGCCAAAACAAAGGGTTCCGGGCGGAGGGGGCGCGCTGGTTGGTGGGTGGGGGGGATGCGGGGGGGGCACGCGAGCAGGGGGCGGGGGGCAGTGCCGCGCCGAAATAAGAAGGTCGGGGCGGAGGGGCGCGCTGGTTGGTGGGTGGGTGGGTGGGAGGGGCTAATAAAGGGGTCGGGGCGGAGGGGCGCGCTGGCTGGTGGGTGGGCGGAAGCGGGGGGGGTGCGCGGGGCGCGCGGCGAGGGAAATGATGCCGTGCCGACATAAGGGGGTCGCGGGGCGGAGGGGGCGCGTTGGCTGGTAAATGGGGGGATGCGGTGTGTGTGTGTGTGTGTGTGTGTGTGTGTGTGTGTGTGTGTGTGTGTGTGTGTGTGTGTGTGTGTGTGTGTGTGTGTGTGTGTGTGTGTGTGTGTGTGTGTGCGTGCGTGCGTGCGTGCGTGCGTGCGTGCGTGCGTGGCGTGCGTGCGTGCGTGCGTGCGTGCGTGCGTCGTGCGTGCGTGCGTGCGTGTGTGTTTGTGTGTGTATGTGTGTGTGTGTGTGTGTGTGTGTGTGTGTGTGTGTGTGTGTGTGTGTGTGTGTGTGTGTGTGTGTGTGTGTGTGTGTGTGTGTGTGTGTGTTTGTGTGCTGTGCCGAAATATAACGGTTGGAGCGGAGGGGCGCGCTGGCTGGCGGGTGGGGGATGCGGAGGGGGTGTGCCGTGCCGGAATAAAAATTGTCGGGGCGGAGGGTGTGCCGTGCCGAAATAAAAGGGCCGGGGCGGAAGAGCGCGCTGGCTGGTGGGTGGGATGCGGAGAGGTGCGCGGTGCCGAAATAAAAGTGTCGGGGCGGAGGGGCGCGTTGGTTGGTGGGTGGGGGGGATGCGGAGGGGGTGTGCCGTGCCGAAATTAAGAGGTCGGGGCGGAGGGGGGGCGGAGCCGTGCCGGCAATTAAGGTGTCGGGCGGAGGCGCGTTGGCTGGTAGGTGGGGGGGGGGATGCGGAGGGGGTGTGCCATGCCCAAAAAAAAGGCGTCGGGGCGGAGGGGTGTGCCGTGCCGAAATAAAAGGGGGGTCGGGGCGGAGGGGGCGCGGGGAGGGGGGGGGGGCGTGCTGAAATAAAAGGGTCGGAGCGGAGGGGGCGCGCTGGCTGGTGGGTGGGGGGGTGCAGGGTAGACGCCGTGCCGAAATAAAGGGGTCGGGGCGGAGGGGCGCGCTGGCTGGTGGGTGGGGGCGCTGCGGAGGGGCGTGCCGTGCCAAAATAAGATGGTCAGGGCGGAGGGGTGTGCCGTGCGGAAAGAATGGGGTCGAGGCGCAGGGGCGCCGAAAGAAAACATACCAAAAGGTACAGAAAAGTGTGTCGTGTCGAAATAATCAGGGTCGGGGCGGAGGGGGCGCGCGGGGGGGGGGGGGGGCGTGCTGAACTAAAAAGGGTCGGAGCGGAGGGGCGCGCTGGCTGGTGGGTGGGGGGGGGTGCAGGGGTAGACGCCGTGCCGAAATAAAGGTGTCGGGGCGGAGGGCGCGCTGTTGGTTGCGGGGGATGCGGATGGGGTGTGCCGTGCCGCAATAAAGAGATCGGGGCGGAGGGGCGCGCCGTGCGAAAATAAAAACGGGTCGGGGCGGAAAAGGCCCGCGGGGGGAGGGCCGTGCCGAAAGAAAGGGGTCGGGGCGGAGGGGGCGTGCTGGTTGGTGGGTGGGGGGATGCGGGGGGGTGCAGTGCAAACATAAAGGGGTCGCGGGCCGGAGGGCCGCGCTGGCTGGTGGGTGGGGGCGATGCGGAGGGGGTGTGCCGTGCCGAAATCAAGGGTCGGGGCGGAGGGGTGCGCCATGCCGGAATAAACGGGGTCGGGGCGGAAGGGGCGCGTAGGGAGGGGGGGGGCGTTCCGAAATAATGGGGTCGGATCGGAAGGGGGCGTTCTGGCTGTTGGTTGGGGGGGATGCGGAGGGGGTGTGCCGTGCCGAAGTAAAAAGGGGTCGGGGCGGAAGGGTGTGCCGTGCCGAAATAGAAGGGGTCGGGGCGGAGGGGCGCGCTGGTTGGTGGGTGGGTGGGATGCGGAGGGGGAGTGGAGGGGGTGTGCCGTGCCGAAAAAAAAGGGTCGGGGCGGAAGGGTGTGGTGCCGAAAAAAAGGGGTCGGGGCGGAGGAAACGCGCGGGGGGGGTGGGGGGCGTGCCGAAATAAAATGGTCGGGGCGGAGGGGGCGCGCTGGCTGTTGGGGGGGATGCCGTATGATTGTGTGTGCCGTGCCGAAATAAAGGGGTCGGGGCGGGTGGATGGGGGGACGCGGGGTCGGTGTGCCGTGCGGAAATCAAAAACACGTCGGGGCGGAGGGATGGGCCGTGCCGAAATAAAAGGGGTCGGGGCCGAGGGGGCGCGTAGGGAGGGGGGGGGTGCCGAAATAATGGGGTCGGAACGGAGGGGGCGCGCTGGCTGTTGGTTGGGGGGGATGCGGAGGGGGTGTGGAGGGGGTGTGCCGTGCCGAAATAAAAAAAGGGGTCGGGGCGGAAGGGTGTGCCGTGCCGAAATATCAAAGGGGTCGGGGCGGAGGGGCGCGCTGGCTGGTGGGTGGGGGCGATGCGGAGGGGGTGTGGCGTGCCGAACTAATGGGGTCGGGGCGAAGGGGTGCGCCGTGCCGAAATAAAGGGGTTTGGGTGGAGGGGCGCACTGGCTGGTGGGTGGGGGGGATGCGGAGGGGGTGTGCTGTGCTGAAATAAAAGGTTCGGGGCGGAGGGGTGTGCCGTGCAGAAATAAAAGGGTTCGGGGCGGAGGGGCTCGCTGGCTGGTGGAATGTGTGGGTGATGCAGGGGGTGCCGTGCTGAAATAAAGTGGTCGGAGCTCTAGGCACCCTGTGCAAGAGAATATCAGCCTGGCTCCATGACCGCCCGAGGCACTCCAGGGAGGTGGTGTGCGGGTGCGGGCGGGCGGACCTCCCCAGGCAGGCGGACCCCCACCACGGCGCCCTTGGGTTTTGTTTGCGAATGCTAAAAAAGCCAGTTACTTCATACATATATATATATATATATATGTCATATAAAGCTGTCTGTACCGAGAGGGGCGAGGGGGCCAACAACGTCACGATCCGCGCCGGCGCCGTTTGGGAAGCAGATACCCTCAGTAATCTCCACGCGGCGCCGGCGCGAACCGTCACGTTACCACGTGTGGGGGGGAGAGGGGCGGGAGCATCCTCAGTACAAGCTTTCCGCATAGTGAGGATGGGCAACCTTCCCAGAGATGCTACCCCTTGCATCCTTGCCCCAGCGGCTTATCCTCAGCGCCCCTCGCTGGCCAACCCCGCTCGAAGAACGAGAAAGGTGGCCCGCCCCTTGTCTCGCCCCTCCGCCGTGCTCGCGCTGCCGCTCCCCGGCCGCGTCGGTGCCTCGAGGGGTCGGGGTAGAGCGATGGGGTCGGGGTCGATTGCGCCGCACCGCCGATGCATCGCCGATGCTGCTCGATGTGGAGCCAGGTTGGCTCCACGTCGGCGTCGCCGATGCATCGCCGACGTTCCCGATGCGTCGCCGGTGCATCGCCGATGCATCGCCGATGCATCGTCGACGCATCGGCGCTGAGGCGCGAGCCTCCGACCCCATCTGCTCTGGCCCCATCCAGGAGGCCTCGCAGGGAAGGCCCGCCCCCTCTCTCGCCTCTCCCCCGGGCTCGTGCCGCCGCTCCCCACAGCCGCGCCGCCGCCGCGCTTCTCCGCAGCGAGCCGCCGAGGGGGGGGGGGCGGGGCGGGGGCGCGGGCCCCCCGCGTGCCGCGGCCCGCGCGCGCCGCCGGCACGCCGCGGGCTGGGGCGTGCCGGAGTTCGGCGGCGAGAGAGAGCCGATCCGTGCAGTGGAGCCTCGGCGCTCGCATTGCAGTCCGTTGCCGTCGCTTTTGCCATCGCGGGCGACATCGTGGCTCGCGCGTGCCATTTCGCAAAGGGGGGGGTCCAGAATATGAAGGGCCCTCGTTGACAGAGTGGTCCGGTGAATGAAGTTGCAACATAAGGGGGGTCCGGTTTTGTAAGGGGGAATCGTTTAGTAAGGGGTTACGAGCACCTTCGCCGATCAACGATTCAGGCAGCTCGACGATTCGTAATTTGTCGAACACGTGATGAAATCCGAGTCCTACCCCCACCGCCCATCGATTCATGATGATCGATGGTTTCAGGCAGTGGAGAGTCGTCCTGACCTGCCTACAGGCCTACCGAATAAGATTCTTCCCGTTCTAAGAGCATGTCGTGGCAAGCATGTAGGATGGCCGGGACAGTCAGCTCTGCTCAAATGGTTGGTGCGGGTACAGTGAAGGCCAATGCCAAGAATTACCCTGTTTGCCTCCAGGGTGCCCTGGATTTCTTGAGTGCCGATGGTTTTGTGATGGAGAGCGTGACTGTCCCACACCAGAAATCCATGGACGTCCTGGGGTATCAGGGTTGGGCTTTTTGAGGAAGGTTTCTTATGAACTGGCCTCCACTGTACCCGTCCGGGGTTGAGCCCCTGACGGGGAAGCGTACAAGACTCGAGTTTGCCGGAATCGGGCTCGCCGGCGTATTTGGATGGGTTCGTCCTGCATTTTTTGACGGGTCAGTTGTCTTGAGACGTTTGCAGCGGTAGCTCGCGTCAAATTCCAGGCCGGGCCTCGTCATTTTCCTTGCTGCCCCGCCGAGCCAACCCGAGTCCCCCGAACCCGAGTCTTACGACTCAGGCCATGGCCCAAGGCGCCCCCAGCTTTTCGCTTCATGCTGGAGCTCACGGGGCCCTCTGGGCCTCGCCATGGGGTGCTCTGGAGGCCGTGGGGGCCTCCTCGTAGATCCTGGGGGCCCAGGGGCTTCTTTTATCAGGAGGGAACAAAAACACACAGACACAATTCATTGTCGATTCCTAAGAAAATATGGGGCAATCTGGGAAGTGAGGGGGAAGGCAACAACCCAGAAAATATATGAAAATATGGGGGATATATTGATTTGTGTGTATTTATTTGGGTCCCAGGGCCCCTTCAGTTCAGCAGCACCCGGCCTGCCCGCGCCGATCCACGATGCAGGCAACTCGATGGGCGGCGGGCGTGGGGCCCGGGATCCGTCGAGCACGCGGCAAGATCCGAGCCCTGCCCGCGCCGCGCATCGAGTCAGGAGAATCCATGGTGGGCGGGGGTACGGTGCCGTTTTCAATGCATGCTTCGCGTGCGGATCATGTGATAAAAATGCAGGGATTTGGCACTAAAGACACGATGGGTTCATGCACACATTCAATCATACATTGATCATGCATCAAAAATCGTATATTTGTTTATAATCCCATGTATGAAAGACTGCCCTGTACGGTGCGTCGTGTCGACGTGGGACCCAGAGTCGGTCGATGCTGTGCGACCCGACGCTTCAGGAGCGGCCGCTCGCTCAGGGCGGAGCGACCCCCCCCGCGGTGTCGACACGGCGCGAGCCTTCCGCAGGGGTTCCGACGTCGCCACGCAGGAGCCGCGCGGGCCCGAGCTCGAGGGAGGAAAAAGCTGCAAAAGCACACTCCAGGTCTCTCAATAAGCGCGGGGGGGTGGATCTCAGGAGGGAAAAAAACACACAGACATAATTAATCGTCGATTCCCCAGAAAATATGGGAAAATATGGGAAGTGGTGGGGAAGACAAAAACCCAGAAAATATAGGAAAATATGGGGAATATTTTTATTTGTGTGTATTTATTTGTGCGTCCCAGGCCCCCTTCAGGATCGCGTGAAGAGGTGGGGAACCGCTGTCCTTCGGGGGGCGTATGGAGGTTGGGGAGCGAGGGGGGGTGGGTTGGGGGCGCGTGGGGGGGCGGGCAAGGGGCGTCGGACAGGTTGGCACGGGGAAGTGGTGCTTCTTGAAGGATGTGGAGTGCCCATCGGTCGTTGACAGTGGGTGCTGTGGGGTTCCCACATTCCAGCCTGCTTTGAGCGCCTTCCTGCTTCAAGGATCGAGTGGCTTCCCCTCTTCCCCTCCTCCTCGGGGGGCGGGCGGAGATCCGGCCTGCTTCCGCCGCCTTCCCGCTTCAGGTTTCTGCCTGCCTCTTCCGGCCGATGGGTAGTTTTTGTCCGCCCTCGGCCGGCACCTTCCGCACCTTCCGCGCGGCATGCGCCGCGCTGAGACGCGGCCGCCGCCCTCGGCCGCAGCGGCGACCACCGTCTCGAGGCCGCAGCGGCCGCACCTGCCGCGCGGGAGAGGTGCAAGAGGTCTGGTCGAGGGTGAGACTCTCCGCGAGGATCTCTTCGATCTGCGCGGCTCTCCGACTGTCGACGTGTAAGCGGTCCCGTGTCCTTCTACCAGTCGAAATACAAAACGCCATAAGCATTTTTGTTTGATCCCTGCCAGGCCCGCCTGGATCCCCACCAGGCCCCCCTGGCGGCGCTTCCAGCGCCGCCTTTGGCGCGCTCCGCGCGCCAGGAAGGTGGGTCCAGCGCGGATGCAAGAAAACCGCGCGGATCGCCAACAGTTTATGTGTTACGTGGCGGTTTTTCTCCTTCTAATATTCGGCCCCGCGTCTTCCTATCATAGGGTATCGATGCCGCACCTGCCCTGGAGAGCCCTCGTCGCCACGGCTGGACTCCCCAGGAGAGGTTCAGAGAGTAGCGTTAAGTCGGGCGTGTCCCTCTACAGAAGGAACATTCAAACATTGAAGAACAAACAATAGTCTGGGGACGCTTTTTTGTATGTTGTGTCACTATTTTGGGAGCATGTTTTGGGTATTTTTAATTGTTCGTCCAAAATCCGCCTGTAGAGGGACATGCCCGACCTGAGAGTAGCGGTATCGGCATCTGCTTGTTCGTCTTTGTTCTAGTGTTGGAGCTGCCAGAGGGGGGAGGGATGGACGGACGAAGACGAGGCAGATCTCAGCCTTGCTGTGGAAGAGGGCCGAGGGGCGAGGATTCTCCTCGGAGTCATGGTTCGGCGCAGATCCGAGAAATCCGCACGGAGCGCAGAACGTACATGTTTATCCCCCTCGAGCGGTGGCGGACGCGGCGCGCGGGTAGCGACAGGATGGCCTCCGGGCGCATTTCGGAGGCGGAGCGGCGCTTCCTGCTGGACGGCGCGGACCAGGCGAGGGGTGCGCGCCGAACCTCTCTGGGCACAGCAGAGGGCAACCCTGGCGGAGTGGATTGTTCGGGGGGGGCCCTCGGGGGAGAAGCCGCCAACCTCGACAAAGACACCGTTTTGATGTGACCGTCCTGGGACGCCACATCGACCACAAGCAGTACGAAGCTGGTGTCGGTGCCCCGGCAATTTTTGGCATGCGCAGGACATTGTGTCCTTCATGTGGTTGTTGCCGTTTGATGTCCCCGCACAGGTTTCCGAGGTTCGAGGATCCGTGAGATCGGGAGTCGCATTTTCGACAACGGGCGATTTCTTTTTGATTCGGGCACAGGGACCCTCACGCATCAATCTGGCTTCGCAAAATGCAGCAGAGAGATCGTGTCCAGGGCTGGATCGACGATCAGTTTTGGCGGTGCTGCTCGAGGAGCGCCGACTCGGGCCGAGGTTCAGGTCGGGAGTGCGCTGACTCTGCCAAGCGCTGCCCAGACACCTGCATCGGAGTGCGAGGATGGAGGCTCGACGACCAGTTCGGGAAGCCTTTTAGGGGCCGCCAGTGGCGCTCTCGTGGCCACGGCAGGGTCCGCCTCGAGATTGAGGCCCGAACGCACAGCATGATAAGCCTGAGCCCAGGCTCCTGACCCCCCGAGAAAGATGGGGGCGGGGGCACTGCAAGTCCGCAGGCCGGCTCGGGGCTCCTGGGCCGGGAGAGGCCCCAGGGGCGAAAATCACAGACTTCTCGTGGTTTCTTACCGGATTTTCATGTGGTCGCCTGCTCCGCTGCCCGACGCCCAGAGACGGCACAAGTCAGAGCGTGAATTACCTACCCCGCTTTCGCTTCAGGGCAAAACCAAGCCATACCACGCGCCTCCTCGTCAAGCGCCCTGACCAGTACAGGCTGCAATTTGGCATCGTTTGGTATCTCTTGGAAGCGAGGGTGGTCAAAAGCGAGGTAGGTTTGTTTTCCCCCTAACAAGAGGCGGCACAGGTGTGTGCTTCCTAAACCCCTAATCTGCGCCGAGATGACGTAGGGGAGCGGAAGTATCGAAGGCCAGGCCCCTCTGCCCTGCAGCCAGAGGACTGTTGGGACGCAGCCGTCCCTGATGGGGAAATCGAGGTGGTGAATTGCGCCGGGGAGCGGAAGAGCCAGGAGCGGTCCTCCATCGACCGTCTTTGCATCAAGTGGCACCTGTATGGTTGGAACACAGATGTATACGTCCATGGTGACCAGGTTTGTAAACTAGCTGCTGCTCCTCTGGGCGATGCTCGGGGGACCCCCGCTGAACGCAGGAAGTCGGAGGAGAGGACGAGGGGGAGACAGGAGGGGAAGGTAGAGGCTGGGCGACACCGTAAACAACCACGGCTCCTTCATGACGACACGGGGCAGCGAGCATGCGTTGCGACGGGCGGGGCGGGCACTGGCGACTGGGACTTCGGGGATGTCACTTTCTTAGCTTCTGAGGGCCGCCTGTTTTTGATCTCATTCCTCCTCTCCTTTCCTCCGAGAGGTCCTGGCCCGATCCTCCCTCCCCCACTCAATTGTTCAGGTTAGTTGTGGATAACGGAGCCTTAGCGCAAGCTCTCAGAGGCTCGTCGCTCGTCCAGTGGGAAGGGCTCACCCAACTTGCACCTCTCGGTGACTTGTGGCTCCAGAGCGTGACCGATGGGTGGAGACCTCAGGAACCGATCGAGGCTCCGGTGTTGTGGCGGCCCCGCCATCAGAATGACGAGGCGTGTCGTTTGTGTAATGCAGTTTTGGATGCAGGCCGTCTCCTGGCCACCGGTGTACATAATGAGGTCCAGAGTGTTTTCTTTTCGGATTGGTCCGCGGCAGCCGAGCTACGAGCAAAAATGCAGATTGCCTATACGCACCACACATCTGTATACCTTCCCAGCCAGGCCAGCGTGCCTGAATACTGGTCCTGCGTCCAGGGCTCGCATGACCAGGAGGCGGCGAGGGAGCGAAGGAGGGATGCTTTCAAAGAGGTGTCTGGATGTTCTGGGGTGATTCTGAACATCGCGATGCCCTCGGAGGCACTGGGGGGAACCTCCAAGCCAGATGCCGACATGGTAAGGCTTCGGGCTGTGCACAGACAGCCCCCCCCCAAAGTAGTCCCTGCTGGCCTCAGCAGGCCCTCCAAGCAGCCCAGGGCCTCTTCGACGCCCCAACCATTGAGGCGCGGAGCGCCCCAGGGGCGCCGCCTGAGGCGTTACTAAGAGTAGCCTGGGGCGGTCTCAACACCCCGGCGCCGGTTCCAGCACACGCCCTTCAGGGGCGCTCCGCGACCCGGCGTGGCGTGCTGTGAGGCCGCCCTGGACCACTCGGGGGGCCCGTTGAGGCCGCCTGGGGCTTCTCAGAGGCGACGACAGGGGACGAACAGCCCGGGGGGGAGCACTACGTGCATTCGGGTGCGCCGGTGAGGTGCGCCTTCGAAGAGGCTCCCGGGCGAATGCGTGCAATGCCCGCCTCCGGGCTATTGGCCCCCGTCGTCGCCGCCGAACCACCGCCGACGCGCTGGGAACATCGGGCTCCGGAGGAGCTCCTGACACGGGGCCGCTCCCCGGATCTGGGCTGTGGGGCGTCGTCGTGGCCGAGGCCCGCCGTGGCCAGGAAGAGGCCCGTCGCTCCTCGTTCCGTTGTCCTCTCGGCAACACGACGGCTGTGCCCGAGGGGTCCTCCTTTTCTCCTCCTCCTCCTGCTCCTCCTCGTCCTCCTCCTCTCGGGTCGGGCGAAAGGTGGGGATTGGGAAAGGGGGGGTTACGAAATTTGCTGCATGCAGCTGGTTTCGGCCTCACCGCGGGGCCCATTCCTTGATACATGGGCGCCTCCCGGCGCCGGGAGGCGCCGGGAGAATCAGCTACGAGAGCTGATTCTCAAACCCCTCCTTTGCTATCCCCCCCTTTCGCCCGACCCGATCCTCCTTGTTCCGTGCGCAGCCCAGAGCCTACCTGTTGACCTCAGGGGACCTTGAGAGAGTGCAGAGTTGGCGTCCTCCGCCCAGGGCATCCGCAACGACGGCCGCGGCTGCTTCGACTTCCGCCGCGTCACCTGCGAGGCGCGGCTGTCGGGGGGTGGGTTAGTCGGGGGAACGTAAAACTCGAGTTCGCTGGATCTCGGGTTTGCCGATGCTTTTTGACGGGCCCGCCTTGTATTTTGACGGCCCAGTTGTCGTGGGACGTTTGCAGCGGGACTTCGCGCCAAATGTAATGTTGGGTCTCGTCATCGTTTGGATGACCTCGTCAGGTCACCCGAGTCCCCCGAACCCGAGGCCGCGTCTTACGTCTCCCCGAGGGATGCGCGCACGAGAGGAGGAGACCAGACTTTTACCCCCTGGCGGTAACGTCACGATTCGCGCTGGCGCCGACGGGGAATGCCTGGGAATAGTTCATTCCCAGACGGCGTAGGCGCGAATCGTGACATGACCAGGGAGAGGGGTGGGGGGCGGGGCCAGTAACGGGCGTTATCGCGAATAGTAGAAAAATGGTTCGATGACCGTGAGGAGGAGGAGGAGGAGGAGGAGGAGGAGGATCTAAGAACAAACATGCATAAGCATAACTTGCCCTGGCGCGCTCGGCGCGCCAGGGAGGGGGGTTTTGCACAGATCCAAGAAATCCGCGCGGACCTCTGAGCATTTACGTCTGTCTACGCAGTGTTAGGAGGAGCAGGGGGAAGAGCAGGAGGAGGAGCAGGAGGAGGAGGAGGAGAAGGATGAGGATGAGGAGGAGGCGGAGGCGAAGGAGGAGGACCAGTGTAAACCCAAGTGCCATCAATGATGTTGGAATAACCCTGCCTCCAAGCTCCCCCTGCGCAGGCCCCTATAAGGGTTCATTTCCACTAAGGGAACTGCCTCGTTGGAAGCCAACCGTTTGAAGACCCTGACGCATGCCACAATATCGTTCTCAGGAGTCCAACGCCACGGATCAACCTGACATTTTGCGTCTAGACGATCCTGAGTCGCGCCAGAACTCCATTCCTGGGTCCTCAACACTGGGAATCAACGCAACGGTTGCGCCCTCATAATCCAGAATCCGTCCCAAACACCATTTCTGGTACGCTGCTCGTGGGAATCCGTGAAACGTTTGCACTTGTAGAAAAACGAGCGTGCGCGGCGCTAAGGCGAGAGCCACATGTTGAAAAGGAACCGCCCTTAATCCGCGAAACTCTGGCAACTTTAGAGAAAAGAATGTGCGCGGCGCTTAGGCGAGAGCCACATTTTGAAAAGGAACCTCCCTCAATCCGTGAAACTCTTGAAGATGCTTTGAATGAATGTGCGCGGCGATAAGGCGAGAGCCACATTTTGAAAGCCACCCGCCCTCAACCCGTGAAGCTGTTGTCAATGTTTCGGCTTCAGGGTCATACGTGGTGAGGAAGTTTCGGGCGAAACAAACGCCCGGACCGCCCTAAAAACGAGAGAGAGGGCCAAAACAACCTGGGGGTTGATTTGGCCCCCACTCCTACGATTTATTTTCAGAGCAATATATTTTTATCTATACATGCATATAGAAAATCCTGGAGAGCAGGATTTGTCCTTTAGTGTAGTTGAGCACGTGCGACATAGCCTAGCGTTGATCTCCAGCTTTGCCACCAGATCGGTCTCAATTTATAATTTCCTTCCTCTCTGCGCTGCTTGCGTGCGTCTCTCTTCCCCTCTCCTCTCACCTATTCTCTCTCCTTGTCGTCTCTCGGCACGCGTGATGCATACTTAAACTACATGCGTACTGAAAAGGAACAACTCTACTTCGTTATCTGTGTGCTGATCGTTTCCTGCATCATTCCGTGTTGCCACATACTTTTCTTCCTTCTTTCTTCCTTACATATTCAGTGATCTGTTCATAGTACTCTTGCTGGCGCAGCCTCGGCTCGTGAAGCAAGCCGGCTTCAAGCCGGCTCAAAACAATTCGCCTATCAGGATCAAAATAATTCGGCTTTTTGCCGACATGCAATTCTGTACGCTTACAAAATGTATTTGTTGTTCTGCTGAGCTCGAGCCGAAACCAGGTGGCTTTCGTGATCACGAAGCTACGGTTTGGAATGGTTCTGTTTGGGAGTACGTCAAGCATGGGACAAAAGTATGCAGTAATAACACATGCAGAACCATGTATAAACTCAATTACGCTCGATGCTACAATATGAGGTTAAATATCTTAACAAAAGATAATGTGACGGACCAGACCATTTTCTTGTTACATCCAGGCTTAGGTTTCAGGTGGTGCTATCTACGTCAACTTTGGCATAGAACGTGCCGTTCCGCTCAGGCAGCCGGGGCGGAAGCAGCGGCTATTTTATTGACATATTTTGATTGGAAGCCGCAATACGAAGCAAAAGGGAAATCAGAAAAGAAAGAAGGCATTCATATGGAAAGTTTTCTAGGACGCAAGATTCACGACGCCTTGTGTTGTTATCTCCGGGTTCAAGAGGAAGGTGTTTACGACTTCGACATTACAGATCCCATCCCGGAGAAGGACCCTGACTACGGCACAATGAACGAAGGGTTCTTTGAAATATTCAATGCAGCCAAGCACGACACATATTTTAATGTCAATGGAGAAATTGATGCGCCAAGAGACGTTGTAGCAGATGGAAGCGAGAAGGTGACGCGTGTCATAATGAAAGACGAAAAGAAGTTTCAGACAAAATATAAGGACAAAGAAAGACCTGTTGTAGACAAAAAAGATCGTCGCTGTCAGCATGTCAAAAGGTTGCTACGGTAAAAGAGAAGAGAACAATAATCGGAGGTCTTTGGGTTAGAATGGATATGAAGAAAAGAGGACAAGAAGGAGCCCTTAACACAATTCTACACCTGGGCGAAATTATGAATTGCGAATGCGCGGATTATAAAAAAGAGGCGTTGCGACAGTTGAAGAAATCGAAAATCGCCGTTCGTGATTACTGTGGAGATTGCAATTGCATGTGTCACGGCTGGAAAGGAACCTTGTTTTCTGGCGGCTGCTACCTTGACGGTTTCCATTGGAAACGGCATAAGTGCGACAGACCTCGCTATCCGAAGAAGAAAACGACTTGCAATTCACAAGCAGCAGAGCAGTTCTGGACCAAGTTGAACAAGTTGCGTTTTCTGTATACAATGCGGAGATCCCACTTCCGATTTCTCCTTCGGCGATTCTGCGTGTGGCGCAACCGCTTCTCTCGATCTGATAAGCACAGGAAGGATTACACGCCGGCAGTAAGCAAAAAGCGGGCTCGCACAGGCAAGTGAACATCTTAGGTCATATTCTCATTCGTGGAGGGAACTGATTGTTCTCTCTTAAGAAAGCTTTTCGCTCTTACGTTGGGCGTTGCTCGCGCAAGAAGACTGATCGTCTTCGCAATGGCAGAGGCGCAGCCGACGACAGATTCACTGCTCAAGTTTCGTTCCATAAAAATATCAGTCATCATAATCAATATCATCATTCATACACATTACAATCGCTATATACATTATCATAGAAAAGGAAGAGGGAAGGGAATGAGAGAGGGGATGGAAAGGGAGAGAGGAGGAGGGAGGCGATTCTGGTAATTGCCTTTGTCTTGTAGTGTTGCCACAACTCCAACTGATCCGTAGAAGTTGTGGCCCAAGGTTCTTTCGCCGTTCAAGGTCCCCTTACTTCGTTGCGCGGAGGAGTTGCGCCGCATCATCGGCGCAGCGGGACCGGCGCCAGATGCGATCAATAGAGCTAGAGATCGGGCTTCTTTTGGAGACGCTTTGTGGAGAGATTTGAAAGCAAAACGCAATTTAAAGGTTTCGAAACACGATGCAAAAAAAGGAGGAGGAGGAGTGCTTGGGATTTGGAAAAGCTTGTTCCCAGATGTTGCGCGCGCTCTAGAATCTGGGCCCTTTGCTAGGCAACAAGGTCAATCGTTTGGCGGCGGCTCTTCTACTCAAGTTCAACAACAGCCAATGTGTGTTCCCATGCGAACAAATTATTTGCATTATTAATACCCTTGGTATGGATATGGGCCTTGGTATAGATATTTTGTGGGCGCGCAAGTGGATCTCGCAATGGAAGGGCCTTGGTATAGAAATGTTGTTGGCACGCAAATGGATCTCGCAAAGGAAGATTCACCATCGTCCTCTTCAGATGACGACAGCACCGATTATAAATTCGGAGAGTATGACCCCAAAACAAATGAGAAACAGTCAGACACGGTGACCATGGCAGACGCAAAGAAAACAGCAACGCCGAAGTCTTTGGCTTTGACTAGCAGGAAGCGGCGGCGGCACGAGGAAGAAGAAGACGAGAATCTGAATGTTTCAAACTACCCAAAAACAATTATTCCACCTCCTCAACCGAAGAAATCAGCAGTGAGCGACGTTTGGCTCATAGCAGGGGACGAAGCATTAGACCAGAAGTTTCACTACAATGTAATTGATTCTTGCCGCGAACATTCTTGGTTTTATTTGGAGGTCCGGCTACCAGTTGACAACGTTGCGATCCGAACAGCTAACGCAATCAGCTATCTCGCTCATTATATCGATAACGGCCTATTGAGGGCCAGCGCCACAAAGAAACTGGGAGTTGTGCTTGCAGACGATCCAAACTTGCATTGCGCCGTCAACGAAGCTAGTCTTGCGAGCTGGCCTACGAACCGATGGCGCGACCCACATGTTGGGCGCGTTGATAATATTAATGCATGCATGAGGGCATTTACAACGGATGGTCGTTCAACCGAATCCATCGGAGAACCGCCGGCAAAATTGTTTCGCAATGAATTCAAAAACTGTTTGGTGCTTGGATCGCGCGGTACTTTTGCTCGCATTCATATCCCGACGCACAGAGATAGGCGTTGTCGATACAAGCGGGCGGCGTTCACAGACAGCTCTTCGGTGGAAGAATTTTCTTATGCTAATTATTTCAAGGGCGAGAGCGCACCAAACGGCATAGAGTTGAACGCAGTTGCCAATGTTGTGACATCCATGGTGCAGAGCATCGAGAATATCTCAGGCGTCGGGCCGTCGAACCTTGTAGTTGCATGAACTCCGCGCGGCGAGCTGTTGTGATTGTTCTGAGAGAACTGAGTATCACTTGAATTCCTTTTATCATCTTCTCTCGATATTGC